ACACATTGAACTGTAAATTTTTACGTGTAGTTTTATGAGTACTATAAGAGAAAAGAAAGTTCCCTAAGCGAAGCGAGCACTAGATAGTGCTGGTTATACCTTAACTAACATTAATAACATGAGACTGCTAGTCGAGATAGGACATTCCTTCGGGATTCTTAAAAGACAGAATATTGAATTTAATTTTTTGCTAAAATTCTAGTAGAAGACCAAAGTTATTTTATATTCTCACTAGTGTTTTAATTATTTCTAGTGTTCTTTTTTTATCGTATAGGGGTACGTACCTGATGGTAAGTGACTACCACAGCCCATGCACATCTGTAATTCAAAAATTTACAAATTCTTTGAGTATCTCTCCTTAGAATCAGTAACAACAACAATCTTAAAATTATCAAACGTAAAACCAAACTTCGTGTATTCTTAAAAAAGACCTTTTATAATAAGCTGCTTAGAAAACAGTCTGCTAATTACCTTCTTACATGATACACAACCTTTGACAAACGATAAACGTACTAATCTACCGCCACACGACTTAAAGTTAACTCTGTGTACTTAAAACGAAGTAACATTACAGCTGGTATCATGGCGGTATGGAGGAATATGTCATGACAGAATCCCTAATGTAGTTGAGTAAAGATTTTTTTTTTATGTTAGAGGGGGCAGACGAGCAGACGGGTCACCTGATGGAAAGTGACTATCGCTGCCCATGAACGTCTGCAACTCAGGAGTCACAAAGGCGTTGCCGGCCTTTAAGACATAACAAGGTGATATAACTGGTGCTAGCCGGGTCACAGCCAATGTTGGCTGTGGCAACCTGGTCAAAATTCCAAAATGACAGAATCCCTAATTTGGTTGAGTACAATTTATCAATACTCCCACTTTTATATAAGTACAGAAATTATTGTGATGACATAACTGGTGCTAGCCGGGTCACAGTCAATTTAGGCCTGGTCAAAAAGTAAGAAAATTCCAAAATGTATGTCTCTTAATCGCGTTAATTCCCTTACCTAATTTTATGTAATTTAATTCATGTAACTTGAAAGTTTTTAAGTAAGTAATTTCCTTAATATTATCAAATTTTACTTAATCCGTAGTGGTCTTGATTTTTCATTAAACCGAATATAAAACGAATATTTTCGTTAAAGCGGTCGGTGATGAAACTTACGGGATTTATATTAAAGTTGGAGCGGATGAGAGTTTAATAAAGTTTTTCTAATAAATTGTAAAATATGGCATAAAATAAATTTTGATACATTCTGAGGTGTAAACCAGGATATAATTTTATCCAATATTTATAATTAGGAGTTTATTTGGGTCGTTTAGTGCGTGTCTTAGAGTTTTATTAATTACTAGCTTTTGCCCAAGGCTCCTACCGCGTAAATGTCTTTGTCAATGTCTTTCAATCAAATCAAATCAAATCAAATCTTTATTTGCCAACCAAGTGTACATCAATGATCTTATAATATTATATGTAGTAGTCCCAACTTAGAAGCCTTTTCCAGGCATTGCAAAAATTTGAGAGAGAACGCAGAAGAATAAATTGTTACACAAGTACAAGCATTTTTTGAACAATACAAATTAAGTGACTCAATAGTACAGTATAACAATCGAACAAAGCATGCAAAAATACGAAGGCACCCGACATTCTACATCACTAATACATATACACATTTTCCTACTGTCCCTAGCTTTTCCGTGCATCGATTTTTCTTTTTATTTCTTTTTATTCCTTAAAAATCAAAATATCTTCATACCAAAATGTCATTTAAATCGGTTCAGCGTTTATTAATTCCTCATACAAACTTCCACCCGTCTTTACACCCTCTTAGAGGATGATCTATGGGATAAAAACCCTATCTCCTTTCCTGGGATTCGAACTATCTCTATATCAAATTTCATCTACATCTGTTTAGCGGTTTAAGCGTTAAGATTTAACAGACAAGAAGACAGACAGACAGACACACTTTCGCATTTATAATATGAGTATGTAGTAGTATGGATTTAAAATTACTTCTAATTGAAAAACATGTCTATTGTAATGTAGGAAAGTGCTGAACTTAATGTAATGATTTAAAAACTCCCAACAGACCGGTTATTGTGAAGAAAGGCAATCAGTATAAATTTGTTAAACGATTTAAATACTTTGATAACAACGACTATAATCGGCCTATTGGTCTAGTGGTTAGTGACCCTGACTGCTAAGCCGGAGGTCGTGGGTTTGATTTCCACCTTTTTTTTTCCGTGCGGAAATCCCCTCGGATACCACCTGTCGGTGGCATGTCGGACTCGAACCGACTAAAACCGCACGCCGTCTCGGGTACTAATAGCCGGGGAACCAGAAACTTTCCTAGAAAGGAAGTCCCTGATGCGGCTTCAATTTCCACCTAGGAAAATATTGTGTGACGAGTTATTTATTATTTATTCTATATCTGGGTGTAATTTATCTATAATATGTATTTAGAAATATATAAGTATGTTTATCAGCAGTCTGGTAACCATAGCACAGGCTTTGCCTAGTTTCGGATCAGACGACCGTGTGTGAGATATGTGGATTTAATATTACTATGTGGAGTTATATATGTATATATATATATAAATACAGTTCTACTACAAAATAAATGTATATCAATAGTTATATGTTTTTTAGCCGTTTGAAAAAGAGCTCATGGGATCCGCCATAAAGCTCGCGACTCGACCTCTAACTGCTCAAAAGTAGTGCTCGTTCAGTGATATATTTTATATAGAATTAGCTAAACGACTGATCGATATTTTTGTGACCAGAAACGTGTCTTTTTCTAACACAGAGAATTATGCTTCTCATTATATATATTCTTATATATTCTACCACATACACACAACGCCATCTAGTCCTAAGCTAAGCAGAGCTTGTACTATGGGTACTAGACAACTGATATAAATACATATTTAGTTTTCTTTTTGTAAATACATACATATTATACATAGAAACACACAGACCAAATCAAACATCAAATTGTTCATGCGCACAAATGTTTGACTTGAGCGGGAATCGAACCCGCGACCTTTGGAATAGCAGTCCGTTACACAAACCACTACGCCATCCAGTCGTCGCCATCCAGTTGCATTAATAACAATAATAACTCAACACGTCTTACATGACGGTGGTCTGATTCACGACTGGGCGGAGTCTGTACTCTGATAACTAGTGCTAATAAACATAATTATATGTTTACAAATACATACATATTATAGATAAATTGCAGGCACAGAACAAATTACCGTACTTATCACATAATTATTATTTCTGGGTGGAAATCGAACCCAAGACCTATGACTTAAGTGTCAGGGTCACTAACCACTAAACCAACAGGCCAATTAGTTCATTTAATGTCTATCTTAGTTTTTATTGAATAATAAAAAGAAATATGAGTCCTTATATACATATCATCATAACATCAACAGCCTTTAAAAGTCCACTGCTGGACATAAGCCTCTCCTTAGAAAGGAGGTTTTGGCCTACTATACCACATCAGCCAGGCAGATTGTTAGAGGATTTGTGTCAATATTTCCTTGTTCTTGCAGTGCTGTTATCTTGCGTAATTTGCTTCCTTAGTCGGCTCTTACGACACGGGATGAATAGGGGTGGTGACATTCCGTATTCTTAATCCGTCACCACACGGATAATCGGAATCCTTGTGTAAGAAGCTCGAATTAACAACAGACCCGCCGGTAATAACACTCTCAAAGAATATGTATAAAATATCAGTAATGAACCTTCCGTACTCTGCGTAGCATGTTAACTATCCCCTTAAGTAATTAACACATAATTAACTACACTATTTATTGCGCAGTGTAATTTCATTATCAGGAAGTTATTTGAACTTTCCTTGACCATTCTAATTGGACTCAGAAGAGCTGGAAGCGCCGGGCTTTAATACATTTGCTTAAAATTTTCTTAGCAATTCAAGATCTTTAAAGAGCATAATGCGTTCTAAGCGTTCATGTAACAATTGTGAATGATAGGTTTATTCTGTATCACTTCACATCAACAGCCTTTAACAGTCCACTGCTGGATATTGGCCTCTCCTTAGAAAGGAGAGGCCTCTGGCCTATTTTGTATACTTCTAAGTAAATGATTTCAATGGCATATTTTAATATGATGAGAACAGTTTTACCGGAATAATTTTTTAAATGAGTCGTATTTATATTTTTCAGGAAGAGGGAACCGCAGATGCGTTTTTGGAAATTTATTTCCTTTATTTTAGTTATACTTCCTGAAAATACATTACATAAGGCGGATTCGCTGCAGTTTTGCAATGACGTGGCTTAGTTCTGTTCTTTGCTGTCAAACATCAATAGCACTATATGTGATCCTTTTTTTGTATGACCATTTTATATAGCAATTGTATGATCTTTGGTGATAATCTCCAGCTTTTATTGAGTTTATTTTATTGAGTTATATAGGAGTTTACTATCTAGTATTATTCCAAGGTACTTGAACTCATTGGTAATGACTAGTTGGGCGTCATATAGTTAGTGTAATATCTCCTAGATTACGTTTGTTTGTGAACATGATTATCACCGTTTTTAACAGCGTCACTGTCAAGTTGTGGCTTGATAGTGAACCCTTTGAGCTAACTGTCGGTAAGATTGTTCGATGAATGTTTCCGAAAACAGCTAGATAATTGGACAAGGCACCCATGCGCTCACTGTTAGGCGAATACGAAGCTAAGTACTCTTCACTCGAATCGAATAGACAGGACGGATAGCGGTCACCGCTTCCTATTGTTATGTGATCCACAAATTATTGTTCTAAGGGTTTTCCCTCTAGGAATAGGATTCATCGTTGGGCATTGAGTGAATGTAGACGTGTACATCGTTTTGGCTGCATTTGATTAAACAACTTAATGCTACTTCAAACCTTAAAGATTTTGTATTAAAATTTAAATTTAAATATTGTGAATCCTCACGCGGCGAACGGAGAGTGATAAGGATAGGACATAGTACATTGCATCTTTCGAATGCAAGAATCACACGTACCAAGCGTGACCAACAAATTATTCATTGAAGCACAGTATACGCAAAAAAAAGAGATGCCACTTCAACGTTCGCCATCTACAGGAATGTGCTCATCACAACCTAATCTAAGTACTAATGACGATGGGGAGGCAAATGTAAGGATAAATACAAGAAAAAGAAAAATGTCAGAAAATGAGAAGTTTGCAGAATTTTGTTCGGATATGAAAGTAATTTTTCAGGAATTCCAATCAAAACAAGACACAAAATATGATAATCTGGTTAAAGCTATTGAAGCATTAACCATACAAAATGAAAAATTAATTGAAAGCAATGGGGAGATAGAAAAAATCCTACAGCAAAATATTGATCAACAGAATGAGTTACAGAAAAAAGTTTTTGGCCTGGAGGTAGAATGCGCAAACGCTCATAATAAGATTGACCTACTGGAGGAACAATTGGATCAATTACAAAGGAACCAGCTGAGGAACGTTTTGGAAGTTAGAAATGTACCTAGAGAAGAAAAGGAAGACTTAAATAAGATCGTTACTAAGCTGATGAGGACTGTGGATAGTGAAGCAAACATGGAACATGTCAGGCAAGTATATCGTGCAGGAAAAGCAAATGCTCCGATTGTTATTGAATTTAAAAACTTCAACCATAAAATACAGATACTAAAGTCGGTGATATCATATAACAAAACTAATAAGGACAGGAAATTGAATAGCAAAAATTTGAGCATTGAATCTTCTATAACCCCTGTTTATGTTTCTGATAAGCTGACTCCTAAAACTAAAATGCTACTTAATGCAGCCAAACAACTCGTCAAGGATGGTACATTTAAGTACTGTTGGGCCTCAAAAGGAATTGTGTTGTTGAGAAAAAGTGAAGATGAAACTCCGATACGTATTGAAAAGCCTAAAGATTTGGAAAAGTTTCAATGTAAGTCAAAGTGACTACATAAAAGTATTAAGCTAACACTTTTGCTAATCTGTTGGTTTACTATTTACTCTCTTACCTGTTATTATTTACACATATTACTTAGAATTTATATTACAACTGCGTCAACAAATATAATATATATTTTATCTACTAATATTATAATAAGCAATATTTATTTATATCCTTCACCTAACTATATTCATTTATTTAACATTCTTTTATTACCAGCTTTTTTCACTTACACTGGTAATTTCACACCTTCGAATATTCTAACAAACTGGATTCATTATAGTACAAATTTTATCTCACCCAGTGTAGTCTACGTGATCGGCGTCATGTGGTCAGGAGCGCCAAACCATTATATGTTATTCTATAATATTAACAAATATAAACAATATGACAAATGACTTACAACAAGTGAACACTGACATTGATGTCAATGTTAGTGTTGGTGAAGCGTTCCTGATAGATGAAGCTGACGATTGCCGGGATCTACTGGGTCAATCTCATAATAGCCTAAATATGATTGTACAGAATATTCGAAGCATAGATTATAATTTTAACGATTTTACAGTTCATCTTGCAAGATTAAAAATTAAGTTTGATCTCATAATTTTAACGGAATGTTGGCTCCCTCACTTAAATAACATACCTAGTTTACCAAACTTTATTTGCCATTCATCTAAACATTACATTAATCAAAATAGTGGCGTCGTAATATATACTAGTGATGATTTAAATGTCAAAGTTTATGAACCGAAAATGGTGGATGCAGACTGCTTGGTTGCTGAAATAAACAATCAATACGCCATCGTAGCAATTTATAGGTCACCTTCAGTTTACACTGTCGACCGCTTCAAAGAATCCCTCGATCATATTTTACATAATCTAAGACATTTCAAAAATCTTATAGTAACGGGTGATATGAACCTTGACATTAAGGAGGGTAATCAAGATTCAAGGACTCCAGATTACCTAAACCAGCTGTCCATGAATGGACTGTTGCCCAGTCATACCTTCCCTACCAGACAATCGAAGTGTTATGACCACTCATTTCTTAAAATAGGCTGTTCAGCGACTACAGTTGTTTATAACTCAACCATTACTGACCATTCATCTATTGTTATCGCGGTAAAAGGTAATCAACAGTTAAAAAGAACACGTAAAACTATTACTAAAATTAATTATGCTAAAGCGGTCGATGAAATTAAATGTATTGATTGGAAAGAAATTTATAAAAACACGTGCCCTGAGGGTGCAACAAATGAATTTCTTTATATATTATCTACTTTTTTAGACAATTGTACTTGCAAACTGAAAATTAGTACTGGTAAAGTAAATATAAAACCATGGATGACCCAGGGCATGGTTAAATGCATTAGGTGGAGAGATAAATTACACGCAAAACTTAGAAAGGATCCTAACAATCTTGTTCTACAAGTGACCTACAAAAGGTACAGAAATTTTTGCAATCAACTTCTTCATTAAGTAAAAACTGATTTTGAAAAATCTGAAATATGTAAACATCAAAATAATATAAAGAACACGTGGAAAACAATAAGCCAGATATGTAACCTAAATATTAAATCTAAAACCGCCGTTGACTTGTTGTCTATTGAAAGCACTCCCGAGGCCTCAGTAAATTCTGTAAATAAATATTTTACCTATGTGGGCAAGTCACTTGCTAATGACATATTATCAAGATTAAAAAAAAATGAAAATGAGTTAGCTAGTAATTTCAAATATAAACATAGCCCACTAAATTCAATGATAATGTTACCTACTGACGAGTATGAGATTAGAAAAATTATTAAATCTTTAAAAAACACCTCAGCGTCGGGTTGGGATAGGATATCTTCAATCTTCATTAAACAAGGTATAGATTTCCTCGCGGAACCAATCTCTTACTTATGCAACTTGTGCCTATCAACTGGCATTTTTCCAAAGGCTCTAAAAAAGTCAATTGTCGTACCCGTTTACAAATCTGGAAATAGAGACAGTGTCACTAATTATAGACCAATCTCTCTTCTTCCCACTCTTGGCAAGATAATTGAAAAAGCTATCAATACAAGATTAACAAATTATCTCGAAGCTAATTTCTTTCTTTCCTCAAACCAGTATGGTTTTAGACAGAAGCTATCTACTTCGGATGCGATTGAGGATCTGGTTCATCATGTCACGCAAAATTTGGATATTCGAAATAAATGTTTAGCAGTATTCTTAGATCTCGCCAAAGCATTTGACACTGTCTCTATTCCTAGGCTTCGGAAACTGGAAGGTGCAGGTATACGTGGTATCCCACTAAAATTTTTTGAATCTTATCTTAGTGGTCGTAGTCAATCTGTGGCAATCGACGGTGTAATTAGTAAACCTCTAGGTATTGATTTCGGTGTACCACAGGGCTCGGTCCTCGGACCGACCCTATTTCTAATTTACCTTAACGATCTTAGTGAAACTATCATGAATAACGCCACAATATTATCTTTTGCTGATGACACTGTACTCCTCTTTAATGCGTCATCGTGGGATGAGGTCCATAAAGTCACTGAAGATGGAGTAAAGACGGTTCTTAATTGGCTAGATAATAATTTGCTCACAATTAACTTCAAAAAAACAAAATATATTACTTTTAGTATATATGATAATAAACAACCTCTAAATTTCAGCGTAAAAGCACATGTACATTCATGTAGTTTAAACTCGTCTTGTGATTGTTTCCCACTTACTGCTGTCTCTTCTATTAAATACTTAGGTGTAATTATAGACCGTAACTTAAACTGGAAGTGTCATATTGAAATGCTTAGTAACAGATTAAGAAAACTCATATGTATTTTCAAGAAAATAAGACACATGCGGGATCCTACAATAAATAAGATAGTGTACTACTCTTTGTGTCAGTCTATATTAACATATGGTATCACAGCCTGGGGTAGTGCTAAAAAAACTAATCTTATCAGAGTAGAACGGGCACAAAGAGCTGTAATAAAAGTCCTAAATTTTAAAAAAATCTTTTACCCAACCTTAGACCTATACAAGGAATTCTCAGTATTGAATGTACGTCAGCTATTTATACTACGAATAGTTCTAAGGCAACATCGAATCACACCACCTTTAGTTATTTCAAGAAGGCGACGTGCTACAGTTTATATAGTACCTCGCTCTAGAACTATGTTTGCTCGGAATTGTTTTTCATATTTGGGTCCTTGGCTATATAATAAACTTGGTGAAATAACTACCCAGTTCCTCAAAGATAAAACTTTTAAAGCTTGCAAAAAAATCATTACAGATTACCTATTAACATTTGACTATGAATCTACTGAATCTATACTCAAGATATTAATCTAAAATTCGTTTTTTTTTTTTTTTTTCCAAACTTACCAGTAAAATATGCTGCTATATATGTTTCCTGCTATATTTATATTTAATATGTTTTAACATAAAGCTTATACTTAAAAACCAAATACAAAATTACATATACATTATATTGTGATATGTACAGATGTATGTATGTGTATGTATATATATGTGTATATTTGTGCATGAATATGTATGTTTATTTATCAATATAGATACATCAAAACAATAGTTTAAATATAAAATAACAATATTACCTAATTAATGTTTATTTTAGTATATATGTGTATTTATGTAGATATTGTGTAATTATTACACACTAACCAAAATTAAAAGAAGGAAAAAAAATGAAAAGTAAGTTAGTTAAGTTGACGCAGTATCTTAGTTTCTCATTTAAAAACATTACACTTTGTCTGTATTTCGATTTTCACTAAATTAATTTTATGTATTAATCTTCCTTATACTATATTTACCGTATTACGCATCCAATAAACAATGAGCCATACAGTCAAGCACTCGCTCATGTAACACGTAACTTTTAAAAATGGTCACTTAGTTCGATGATAACTACACTGCCGCAACACAGTTTTTACTAGTGCGGAGGGTAGCTGTCACTACTAGCTGCTACCACTTGTTAAGATTATGTTATTCTATCTCATTAGGTCTATGTTGCTTATGAACAAAAATTAATTATCAATATATTTGTTATTCTGGTTTTAAGAATTATGCTTACCCTTATGTTTAGCTTAAGATAAGTTATAAGTTAAATATTGTTGTAATAGCTACCTACATTCATGTTAAAACAATAAATATTTTTTTTTTTTTGAATATATGCCTCATAGGGTGATAACCCTCGCGACACAGTTAATGCTCCTAGTGCGGGAGTTGTCTATTTGAAAAAAAAAAACATAAATCTGGTAGCGATTTTACGTCAACCAAAGTTCTTGACAAACAAGAAAAAATATATATTTGAAAGTAGAATACAAGTACTTATCTACAAAAGAGTTAATTTAACATCTACTATATTAAAATAAAATGAGCACTTAAAAAGAACTTTATTAACTAGGCAAGAAGTTACTGGTTTTAATGACAGTAAATTATGAAAAAGTAAATTATAGTCCCGTTTATTATTTTTTCTCGCAGTGATTAAAACCGAACAACATTCGTTACTCGCTGTAATGAGAAGAATAAATGGTTTTAATTTATTATTGCTCAAGTTAGTAAACCGCTATAATGCCTCTTATTTTAAGAAAGAGAAAAGGAATACTGTTTCATTTTTAATCCGTAACAGTTATCGTAATTAATTTTCTGTCTTTTCCCAACTTTGTTCGGCGTCAGGACCTTATCGTTTTCCGACGTAACAAGAAAACCAGCTAACTTACGGTAACTAGAGGTCTGCAACTAATAATTACAAAATAATAATAAATATTTCGAGCATCTGACATACAATACCATCTAGTATCAAACTAAGCAGACCATGTACTATGAAATCTAGATTGACTGATAGAATACTTTTTTATAGCTGTAGTAAATAACAACAGTAAATACAATTAAAGATGTGTTCCAAGTTCTAACCAACAGCTATACATAGATCCGTACAATCCCACGGTAGTAAAGAGGAACAACAGTAAATACAATCAAAGATTTATTTCAAGTTCGTATACCAAGTTCTCAAACATATTTGTACAAGGATCTATACGGTCGGACGGTAATAAATAAAGGCACTTAAAGATGTATTCCAAGGTCTTACCAACAGTTCTACATTCATCCGTACAGTCCAACGGGTCGAGTGAGACTGATCTGCGCTCCCACTGACGCCCGTTTTTATTCTAATCGATGACCCACGTGGTGTTTTAGGTTAAGTATTGAATTATGATAACTATTAATAAATTCGTTGTATATAGATTTTGATTTCATAGTTCTAATATGCGACAATCACGCGAACAAATTAAGTAAATATTACTGTATTGTTTTATATAATCTGTTTTTTTAATGGACTTATAGGCAAACTACCAATGGACTCCTGCATCTCAAGAGACAAAATTGCATTGCCGTCTTTTGAAAAAGGCCAACACAGAAACCAGGGGAGGTTGAACTTGACTCACTAGGTGAAAAACAATAAAAGGAATTGGTTAATACCGGTTTTCGGCGACGATAGTTACTTGCCATCAAGTATCACTTACCAACAAGTAACTCATTTTCTTAACCCTCTATCATCAACAACCTTTACTATTACACTATTGGATATAGGCCTCCCCTTAGAAAGGAGGTTTTAGTCTACTATATAACGCTGGCCAGGCGGGTTAGTAGGGTTTGTTATAAGTTTTCCTTCTCTTTGCAGTGCTGTTGTCCTGCGTAGTTAACTCAATTAGTCGGCTCTTACCCTTTATAGCATGAAAAAAGCTGTACATGATCCACTAACGTAAGTGTTTAATGTTAGTTCCATCATGATCTCCTCTTATCTCATCCAAATGCACTCCTGAGAAAAAGACCGACAGCGAAAAGATCTTCTGATATTTAAGGGATACACTTATCATTTTAAGTAACCCAATAAATTACTAAATCATTTTTTTTACAAGAGTTTTAGAATTGCCAATGCAATCTATTGGGTTAATTTTTATAAAATGGTGATAGTGAATCCATTGGAAGCAAAGTGTGTATACACAAATGATAGAATAGTAAATATTTTGAAGATCTTTTCCCTTATTTACGATGACACATATCCCCGAAAGTACTTCATGAAATTGAATACTCGTCGCTTCTCGTAAGCGCTATTGTGAAATCTACTATATAAAAATAAGTCGGGTTTTCCTTCCTGACGCTATAACTCCAGAACGCACGAACCGATTTCCACGGTTTTGCATTCGTTGGAAAGGTCTCGGGCTCCGTGTGGTTTATAGCAAAGAAAATTCAGGAAAAATATCAACAGAAAAGCGGGAAAATCTTTTTTCACATACAGCGCTACAAACCAATATTTTAAGTAGATGGCGCCGGTGCGTGATACATTGTTTGACATCTACTCATTGTTCTCTGCTCAGTTAATTTCACGTGACAAACCGGTATTGTGTTCACTGTGAAATTGTGAAAAAAAAAGTAAAAAAAAATAAGTTATTCGTTTCCTAACATTTCAATTGGAAACCATCAAATCAATCACGTGTATTGTGCAAATTTGAAAATCTTTTTTCACATACAGCGCCATCTCTTATACATAGCATGTACTACAACCCAATATTTTAAGTAGATGGCGCCGGTGCGTGATACATTGTTTGACAGCTACTCATTGTTCTCTGCTCAGTTAATTTCATGTGACAAACCGGTACTGTGTTCACTGTGAAATTGTGAAAAAAAAGTAAAAAAATAAGTTATTCGTTTCCTAACATTTCAATAGGAAACCATCAAATCAATCACGTGTATTGTGTAAATTTTTATTCAATTTCAACAGCAGGCATTTGTCTTTAATGTGGTAAGTTGAACTGTGTAAATTATGTGGATCGTGCATTTGAGGTTAAATTCACCACTCTGTCTATAGTCCAAAATGCCTAGAGGACGACGTGCGAACATCGGCCGCCGCACAAGACATGCAAGCCAGCAACAAGTGTATTCACAGAACATAAGCGAAGAAAGACAAAATATAATGAGAAGAGATAAGAGATAAAGAGAAAAGAGAAAATGCCCGATTGAGACAACGCGTGAGCACACGAAGATCATTGGCATCATACAATCGCTTGGCATTCCAATATGATCCCACTGCGAACTACAGTGATGATGAAAATTTAGATATTGGACCAATGACGACTATATGCCGATATTGCAATGCGTTTAAGTTCAAAAGAGAAACGGCTGGATTGTGCTGCGCAAGTGGAAAAGTCAAACTGGATCCATTACTTACACCACACAGCCACTGAAACCATTGTTCGATGGAAGTGATCCCGATTCCCGCTAATAATGCTGTGGTTAATATGTTCAAACCGGCATTGGAACGAATGCCATCGGATACGCACAAATTTGTCATAAGAGCGGATTGTACCCCAACAGGTGAACATATGCGAAGATTCAATGCACCCACCGTTAACCACCGATTTGATGTTGCTGCAAATATTGTTGGCGATACAACTAAATCGCGAGACATTTCAGTTCATTTCATTCGTCGTTCAGCGAAGAAGCAATATCATGCATCGTGTAAACGAGACACATCGTTTGTACGATGCGTTACAATATCCAATCATTTATTGGCAAGGGACGGATACGACATCACGTTGAAGATGGTCGATCCAATTACAGGTACAATATTCACACACTAATTATTGCTATTATTGCTATTATTGGTTTCCATTAACAATTCATTTAATTTTGCATTTTCAGGCGTATCAACGAACAAAAATCTAAGCGCAATGAATTACTATGCGTATCGTATGATGATTCGTACACATGAGGAGAATGTCATTCTGAAGTGCCGTCGGCTATTCCAGCAATTCGCTGTCGACATGTATGTCAAAGTCGAGACCGAACGTTTAGCGTTCATCCGATTCAATCAGGCAAAGCTACGATCTGAGGACTATATACACTTGCGTGATGCTATTCATTCAGATGATGATGTTCAGAATATTGGACGCCTGACGATTCTCCCATCATCTTATATCGGAAGACCACGCCACATGCACGAATACGCTCAAGACGCTATGACGTACGTGCGAAATTATGGAACTCCGGATTTATTTATTACGTTCACATGCAATCCGAAGTGGACAGAAATTGAACGTGAGTTAGACATAATCGCCAGAGTATTTCAGCAAAAACTCAAGGTTATGATGGATGTGCTTACTAAGTATCGAGTTTTTGGTGACACACGTTGTTATATGTACTCGGTGGAATGGCAGATGCGTGGACTACCGCATGCTCATATCCTAATTTGGTTGCTGAACAAATTACATTCAAATGAAGTGAATGACATCATATCAGCTAAAATTCCTGATCCAGTCACTGATCCCCATCTACACAACATTGTGACGACACAGATGGTGCATGGACCGTGCGGTGCATTAAATCCATTATCGCCTTGCATGGCTGATGGAAAGTGCACAAAACGATATCCGCGACCGTTAGTTGCTGAAACAGTCACAGGGAACGATGGATATCCAGTTTATCGTCGGCGTTCAAAAGAAGATAATGGTCGAACTATCAAAGTTAAAGTTCAAAATCAAGAGATTGAGATCGGAAATGAATTCATTGTACCATATTGCCCGCTGCTATCACGAATTTTCGAAACACATGCAAACGTTGAGAGTTGTCATTTGGCCAAATCAATCAAATATTTGTGCAAGTACGTCACAAAAGGCAGCGACATGGCTGTGTTTGGTATTGCGTCGGAAAATGCGAATGACGAAATCAGCAACTTCCAAATGGGCAGATACGTCGGTACTAATGAAGCACTGTGGCGATTATTGTCATTTCAAATTCCCAAATATCCCACAGTTGTAACCACTAATATGAGAGTTCAACTTCAAAATGATCAAAGTGCTGCACAATTTTCCAAACAATTGTTAGCTGTTAGAAATGGAAAAGTCCCAGTTGATGCGACATCTGGATTAATTACTCTTACCAACGACTTTTGCCGATTTGTAGACTCTCAATTAGCTGTTAATGAAAATGTTTTCCCAAACATTAGTGAGAATTATCAGACTTATGCTTGGTTAAGTGAACGAGCAATTCTTGCCGCAAATAATAATGATGTACACGCACTGAATTTCACCATTCAATCAAAAATTGCTGGCGATTTAGTGACATACAAATCCGTTGATTCCATAACAAATCCCGATGATGTAGTAAATTATCCAACGGAGTTTTTGAACTCTCTGGAGTTACCAGGATTTCCACCACATAACTTGCAACTCAAAGTTGGTACAGTTATTATGATATTGCGTAATTTGAATCCACCGCGACTTTGCAACGGTACTCGACTTTCGGTAAAAAGACTTATGCCGAATTTGATTGAGGCAACCATTATTAACGGAAAGTACGCAGGTGAAAATGTATGTATTCCTCGAATACCAATGATTCCGACTGATCTTCCGTTTGACTTCAAAAGATTGCAATTTCCAGTTCGCCTTGCGCTCGCAATTACAATTAACAAGTCGCAAGGCCAATCGCTTAGTGTTTGCGGGATAAATTTAGAAAATCATTGTTTTTCACATGGGCAGTTATACGTTGCGTGTTCACGAGTTGGGAAACCATCCAAACTTTGTTTGTGTTAACGTCAGACCAAAAAACAAAAAATGTGGTTTACCAAAGAGCACTTCAATGAAACGGATAATTTGCGGACACGTATAACGCTTCGATTCAGTATTTACTTTGGATTCACTTTCATTTACTTAGAGAAGTTCAACTAAATAACACTTCATTTTTGTAATCGAAATGAATTCATTACTGTTGTGAAATGAAACAAAATTTTTCCTTTTTAAATATAAAACAAAAAAAATATTTTTCTTCTTCTTTTAATCACCAAACGAAATGTTACATAAAACGAAGCCATCTGGTGGCGAAACGGAGTTCGCCGGGTTTGCTAGTTTTATATAGAGTTATGATGCAGTTCTGTCGCCTCTGTTATATAGTGCTGCAGTTTCAACTGAGAGAATGTTCAGAACATGACTGTCATATATTAAAGTTTAGAAACTCTAAAATAAAAATCACAATTGTGGTAGAGCCATGCCAAAAAGTTGTGACATTTTTATTTAATAGTAAACAAACACACCAGTCTTATGTACCTATGAGTCAATAATATTACAAATGCGAATGGGAATTTGTATTGTGTTTAATAATTTGTATTTAGTTTTAAAAGCAACATCTACGAGCAATTGAAAAAAAAAAAAAAATATAGTATAATTGTTCAAAAAAAAAATATAGAGACCAAATGAAAAAGAATTTTATCTAGAAAGCTTTAAATTGAATTCACTGGACCGCAGCAAATAAACTTGGGATGTCGATAACAAGTTCTTGTACATACAGAATTTTTTAACGCATTTATTTACTTACATCGAAATCATTGCTGAAGCAAAGATGGACCTTTTATACTGTGTTGTTTAACTTGTCAGATAGGTACGACTTGAGAAAAGATTAAAGATAAAAGAATTAAGTGAAGTCTTAAAAGCACAAGAAGTACGGAAGCAGCATTGTATTGCTAAAATTATTTTAATTTGTTAATTAATTTTCATTTTTTTGAGTAGCTAAAATAACTAAGCTAGCTAAATAGTGGATTCAACTGAAAAAAATATGGATGTTAAGTTTTTGTTCTCCAGCAATGTACATGCATATTTCTAAATAACATAATTAATATGTAAACACCTTAATTCATGTTATTAGTTCACTCATTGGATTTTGTAAATTTAATTAGTTGAATTCTAAATATGTCTGAATTAAATTCAGAATTTTCTTAAAAATAAAAATGATATCAGTTTTTTTTAAATAGGTCTAATCCCTGAAACACTCCACCACTGTATCTCCTGTACACCAGAATCAACAGCAGTGAGCTACCAATAAACTGAGTTGGAAGTCCCAGGAAAAAATTAACTGTCTTTGACCCCGCAACGAAAGTCATCATCATCAACAGCCTTTAACAGTCCACTGCTGGACATAGGCCTCTCCTTAGAAAGGAGGTTTGTGCGTACTATACCACGCTGGCCAGACGGGTTGGTATAGGGTTTGTGTCAAGTTTTCCTTCTCTCTGTGTCCGTGTGGTGACGGATAAAGAATACAGAGTGTCACCACCCTTATTCATGCCGTCGGTGTCGTAAGAGGTGACTAAGGGAGCAAACTACGCAAGATAACAGCACTGCAGGGAGACGGAAAACTTGACACAAACCCTATACCAACCCGTCTGGCCAGCGTGGTATAGTAAGCCAAAACCTGTCTAAGAGAGGCCTATGTCCAGCAGTGGACTTTGAAAGGCTGTTGATGAAGTGAGCTTTATTGGAATTCAGTTTATTTATGACAACTTGTGTTAAACAATTCTCCAACCCCACCAACCAAAGCCCCGAAACCCTCACCCCCCCAATTTTGGTAGGAGGAATCAACGGGCAGCATCACACCTGTAGTTATTGAGTCCATGGGCGTTGGTAGTCACTTAATATCAGGTGACTCGTCTGCTTTTTTTTTTTGGGTGGACAGTCCACTGTACACATGATTGCCGAGCACATTACAAATGAAAAACTTAACAGTAGTTCTAGGATAATACAAAATTACAACATGCGCCAATATTAAAACTAGGTAAGATAAAGCCATAAATTGTAAGAACGTTGTCCGGCAGGCGCCTCGTGTTCTACTGATAACGGCTCGGACAACGACAGAATCTTTCTTTTTGTGGGATTATAATTCATACGTCCCCGTATCCCTTGCGTATTGGAAAATGAAAAGATTTTCCCCGTGTGATGACGTATGGCAGGTTCATTTTGACCTTGACCACAAATCATGGGTTTTATGTACGTGACAGAGATATTTGCAACGTTGCGGTGAATTTTTTGACTAGAAATTATGTATAAAATATGTACCGCACCGTCTTAGGCAAAACGTCTAATTGCCTTGTTCGAGTCCTTGGCGGTTTTTTTATAAAAAAAACAAGCAAGTTTTTAGTGACAATATTTTGAAGTAACATCTTATATATCATCTGAAGCCAAATTCAGATGAAGCCAAATTCAAATTCGAAATAAAAACAATGTTAAATTTGCCTGCTATCTTCATGGCTAAATGGGCCTGTTCGCACTATATTAAACCTTTAATACCACAACATGTACCACCCCATTTGTAGCAAATATATAATTTGAATTTGAATTTGAATTCTAGAATCTTATTGGTTAAATGAAATGGTGCTCGCTTCTTCTTTCTTCCTTTTCATTAAACCATTTTTAATAGATTGCAGGATAAATGAAGAATGTTGCACATCAAATATTGCTCATAAAATTGTAGCTTAGTATACAGTTTAGCTCAGAGTGGAATCCAGGAGGCTTTGATCAGGGTGGCGGCCGTGGTGGGTGGAGAAAACTTAAGCGGGGTACAGCCTGGAACGAAGAGTGTCTCCCACCGCGCTTGTCCGTCGTTATATGCCCCTGTGCGGAGTAAAGCGGTAAGTACTGGTGGGAGAGTAGACCGTGTCGCGTGAAACACTCAACCCATTATGCCAGAACTTTTTCAGAGAGAAAATTCTCAGCTTCCTCCCTAGCTGGCAGTTCTTCTTCGGTATCGCGTGACAGGGTCTGTATAGGGTTTGTATCCAGTTTTCCTTCTTGCCTTTCTGAGAGGCGTACTTTGTAGCGCAATAATACTATTATCAACATGTCATCTATTTAATAATGCTGTTGTAAACCTATTTAATAAAGACGCGATTTAAACACAGTTAAATATCAAGTCCAAATTAAGCGTTATAATTAAATAATTACACTTTCTGAACAACTATTTATCTTTAAGAAATTTAGTTCTATTTAGAATTAACTCTTTAATACTCCAACGGCTCCTCAAAGTCTATTTGAATCCTTAAACAATACTATAGAATTTCGAGACTCCACTTCAGGGAGCGATCGTAATTCATCATTCAAATGTCTCGCGGCTGATAAGAGCCCTCTATTTTGCGGAGACGCCCCGTGGCCACCGTTATTAACGGGCTCAATTGCCCAACAACCCTTTCTTAAAGGAGTTAATACATTGAAAACATTAAGAACATTAGTAATTTAACGCCTTAAAATAGCCTTTTCAAAATTTATGATGAAATTCTCCAGCAAAAATAAATTGTTTAATTTTTACTGATGTTATAAACATTTATTTCTGGTAGTCTTCAAAATTATCAAATTTATTTTCAAGGTTTGATATCTATGAATATTTTATTTTTTCTTTGTAAAATGAATTTTAATTAGCTTTTGTATTCATTCGGATAGACTTCGGACAGGCTCCGATCACTTGAAGTTTTTAAAACGTCAGCGCAAAAACTTATCAATTTAACAACTAAAACCAGTCAGCGAAAGTTAAATTTATCACAAACAGATACAAAAGTTGAAAATCAATGGCATTAGCAATGGCTTATACTCCGTATAATAATATTAAATTTATATAACTGGAACTGAAAAAAAACGAAAAAACGTGGGACCTTACAAAAAATAGATATGCCTGAGGCTGTTCTGTGTGAAGCCTTTAAAAAATTACTATTATATTAACCAAGATAACTTTTATTTTACGATGTTTCTACTTTACAAATTACTGGCGATCTTTGGCAATTTCTTTCACCAACAACACACCCATGACGGTTTTGAGAACTTGGCGTTCTCAAGACTGTCATTGGTGTGTTGTTGGGTGGGTGGTATTTATTAACTGCAGGTAGACGTTAACACACTATTTAGAATACTTATTACACTCTTTTACCCTCCTTGATTATTCTTGAGATCTTTATCGCCTGCATAATATTAAAAATAATACTAAATTTAAATAGAAAGCATTATTTCTCGCAATAAGCATTTGAATTAAACTGTAACGGCAAGATGAAATGATATTCCAAAGAGGTTTTACTAACCAATAGCTGGCTATTATTTCAAATTGAACTTGACTCGCCGATAAAATTAGATGTTCTCAATTTAGTATCAAAATGTACAAAGTGTTATCTATTGTATGAAAATACTGTCTCTGTGTAACCTCATTCACTCGGTGAAGAGCAACAAAGACATGGCCTAACACCCGTTTTTTATGTTGCTGTGGTATCACTACAGTCAAGTGGACTCAAGTGTGTACAAAATATGGCTCTCTTAGTTTAAAATCACCTAACTAATATGTTCTTCTTCAAGAGAATTCGTATCCATTATGTATATTGGCTTCATAATCATCAACAGCCTTTAGTAGTCCACTACTGGACATAGGCCGCTCCTTAGTGAGGAGATCTTGGCCTACTATGATATGCTGGCCTGACTAGTTTGAATAGAGTTCATGTCAAGTTTTCCTTTTCTTTGCAGTGCAGTTGTCCTGCAGAGTTTGCTCTCTTAGTCCACTCTTACGACGGCATGAATAGGGGTGGGGACACTGCATACTCTTAATCCCTCACCACAGGGACGATATACATTAAATCTTGTTAATTATCATTATGTCATAAAACATGAAAGAGTTAGTATTCTGAAAATTTCTTAAATATTTCACACAGTATCCTAATTCGGTAGGCTCTCCCGTTGAAGGCTATCATAATTTCTAAATCAAGTCTATGAAGAAAAACAATAAAGTTATATTACCG